TCTCTTTTTCTTCTCCTCCTCTCTCTCTCTCTCTCTTCATTTTCTTTTTTTTTCAATTTTTTCTGTATGCAAAAATTCTCTTCGTTATACTTATCATATTTAATTCCTTATCATTTATTTCTTTTTTTTAATTATCATTTTAATTAAAACAAACGCATATCGCACTGATAATAATTATTGTTATCAATGATTTGAATGAAAAATTCTCACAATAATTTTCTTCCTTTTTTTTTCTTCTTTTAATAATAACTTAAAGTGAAGTTAATATTAATGAAAACATTTCAAATAAACAACATAAAATATTCCAAGAATATATTTATTGATAATATCACTCCATTTGTGATAATATTTAACTAACATGCAAAACCATTTAGCATTTTTGACAATACATATATGTATTAAATAATGAATCGAAAAAAGAGAGAAGGAGAAAGAGAAAGAGAGAGAAGGAAAAAAGTTTTTTTTTTTATTTTTTTAAAATGAAAATTTGATTTTTTAACTTTGAAAATGTTTTGTTGATGAAACATGCAAATGCTTCATGGAAATGACAATCGCAATCGTATAATTGGGGTCACATGGGAGAGAATTAATGTAATTAATGTTTGGGTTCTGTATGTAATTTGAGAAACCAACCCTTTGGCCATCATTCACTTTCAGTGTCACTTCTAAAAGTCATCACTATCATTAGGCTAGAAAAAAAAAAAAAAAAAAAAAGAAAAAAAAATTTAGAAATATAGGAATGCAACAGTTGTGACAAAAAGAAAAGAAAAAGAAAGGAGGTTTCGATTTTTTTTCTTCTCTCTCTCTCTCTCTTACCGTCATTTATTGAAATTTTAATTGCTAAAATTGGAATAATTTACCCAGGTATGTCATGCTATTCCATCATCTTTTCACTTATTCAATTATTGATTATTTTAGTTTTCAATATTTGTTTCCAATTTCATCGAATACAAAATTAATTATAAATATTAAGAAATAAACTCAGAAATACTAGCTAATTTCTTCCAATTTTTCTTTTTATTTTTCGTCTCCATTAATAATTGGAAATTAATTGTAATTAATGAATATCATTGATAATTGACAAAAACCGTTAGCTAGTTTTTTGATTTTCAATTTTGATTCCAATTTTAGCGTTATATTATTTTTCACATTGTATAATTAATTACAAATATCGGTAAAAAAATATTGATTGACAAATATAACGGCAATAAATGCGACAAATATTGTATTATAGCAACAACAACAACAACAACAACAATAGCAATAATAAAAAAAACAACAATAATAACGGTGTCTACAACTGCTGGCGGAAATTTCCCGACGTTGAGCATTTTTGCGCTCATTATGCCAATTATAACCTGATGATTTTTTTGCCCAATATCCGCATGAATCCGGTAAATGCTTGATTAATCCGGATTCTTCCAGTAATTCCAGAAGTGCTCTGCAATATTATGATATCATCATTTCGCAAAAAGGTCAAATTCATTTTAAATTCCACTAAAAATTATTTTAATTAAGATTTATAAAATGACAAAAAAAAAAAAAATGTCGTTTAGTAAGGAAGGCAAATATTAATTCTAATAGAAAATTAAACAATTTGAAAATGATTGTAAAAATTAAACCGTTTATAAGTAAATCATGCAAGTTTCTGTGACAAATTTTGGTCGCATTTATTTAATAGATAATTTTAAAAATATTAAATATAATATTATAACTTTCATTTACAATCAATAGCTGAAGTAGTAGTGGTTTGAATTATTTCGTTTATTTGCTAATTAAAGTTAACACCTTTCAGAATACTAGTTTTGTAACCGGTATATCTTATATTTATTTGTGTGACAAACAACGACAACAAATATGACGCACTAAATGATCGATGAGAATTTGAATTGAATTGAATTGGATTGATAAAATAAATCGTGTATTTATGAATTAATCACTATTGATTTTTTTTTTTTTTTTTTTTGTTTTGCATATCAGTAATAATCAATCATTTCTTAGTTCTACATATCATTAATAGATTAATACCTCCGTTCTTTATTATTTTAAAGAAAAAAATTTAGTTAAACATTTAAAAAGGAAAAATTAAAAAAAGAAAAACAAACCGAAAAGTTCGCCGACTTAAATTAATCAAAAATTCGTGCATTTTTGAACCGCAAAATTTGTTTGATTGTTGTATAAAACATTTGTCATGCATTGTAACACTTCTAAAATATCATTTATATCTGAATTAAGTTATTATCAGTTGTTCATTCTATTAAACATTCTTATCATTAATAATTCCTATGATAATTTCAAATTACAAAAGATTCTATTTCATGAATATCTTCAATAATGCACATTTATTCAAGTCTTTTGAAATAAATTTATTCATTTAATTTGTAAAATCATCAGTTATTTCAAATTTTTCCTATATCTTAGCAAAAATACCGATTTTTTTTTTTTCGACTAAACCATTGTGAACTATCTTACTGTAATTACAACGATAAAAATAGCATTATTTAGATATGCTAGCAAAAGTTTTAATTTTTCTTGCGAACTTGCATAAATCATCAAGATGCTCGTTGACCATTTGTATCCCATTGTCCACTAGATTTGATGCAGCATGTTGTAAGATTGATGTTTGCATTGCACATTGTGTTACAACATTGTTACCATACCTTGACCAACATGGTATAATGAATGATAAAAAATCACCTGAAATACTAGCCATCACAATTTAGCATACTGTAGTGAATATTTTAATATCAGTATGTTTAAATCTGCTTAAAACTCGATACAAACCAGTATTATAATGATATGCATCACAAATGCTTGTCCAGGCGATTTGACCTTTCAATAATATATGTCCAGTGGTTTTATCGCCACAGCTATTTATACAATTCGTAAATTCTGCATTTAACCTAAAATTAATTTTGTACGCTTAACAATTATTAACAATAAAAATAGATGCAATCAGTTACATGTAACAATCAAAAAAGAATTATATTATTTCACTGGAATATATGAAAAGGTAATTTAAAAAGAATGATGCAATAAATTAATTCATTAACTAGAATTGGATTTAATACATCCAAAACGAATATTTTGAAATTATTCATTGTCGAGAAATTAATTAGCAATATTTGAATTATTAATATAGCTCTAATAGCCATATCAGTGATAAGAATAACATTGATAAAAGATTTAGTATTATGCGAGAAGTAATACTTTGGTTTTCCCTTAATCCGTACTAATTGATGGAGTTGAAAGCTCCAAATTTTTTGCCGTAATTCTCGATGATTTTTGTTCTCTGCTCTTCACAATGATCTGTTAAATATTGTTACATGGATGAAGGATTATTCTATCAGTAATAAAAGATAGTTACCTAATTCCTCAATTAGTTATTCTGTGATAAACGAACGGTTCACAACATTCCGGAATATTACTATTGCAATTATGAATACCGTAGGATATGCAATATTGCGAATATTAAGCATTCTTATAACGATAGTTAGAATATTTATTCATACTGTAATAGTTTATTGAAAAGTGTATTAGTTGAATTTTTAATACATTTCATTAAACATATATTATCTGAAACTAAAATTACAGTATTTAATTGAGAATAGCCAACTTGTAATAATATAACATTTAAATAAAGAAAGGATACTTGCAAATATCATCAATTCGTTTAGCGAAACTACTGATACGTTGACCAGAAGTTTTTGGAAGGCCAATTAATATGGTATGCAAAGGTGTTACAAAATCTTTCGTCCAATGATCACTTTCACCCAAAATATTTGCCATACCAATCATCTTAAATACATACAAATTTGAGTTTTAAAATAAAATTTTTGATATAATCGTAAAAATTATTGAAAATTTCTAGAATGTTCATTAATTAACACATTTAAATTAATTAGCATAATTTAAAAGGATAGTATTTCTAAATTTTTTCTGCATAAAATTTTTGTTTATAATTATTAATTTAAATATATTTACAAACTAACATTGCCATCTTTGCATCGTAATATGCATGCAAGTTGTTGATGAGAAATGACAAAAACCTGATGAGTTGTTAAACAGGATAGCAATAGGAAGCATTTTTGAAATTTTATCATTGTTATCATTTTTTTCTTTGTTATTGAATGTTTACAGTGATGCAAATCGTTGAAGGATCATCCTGGAATGATAATAAGATGGAAGTAAATAATTAAATACGAATGATTAATATGTTCACTTTATATTACTTATCATATCTGTACAAACTAACTTATGTAGTTCATCTTAATTTTTAGTTTTATTAATTTTAACAATGGCTAAAATGATTGAAAAATAAACTGCATAATATCAGTGATGGAACGAATTTGGAAATATAAATTTTCAAAAAGTTACAAAATTTATTATCGTTAATTATGTTTGCAGTACTTCCAATATTATTAGTAATATGCTAATTTTCGATAGCAATAATTAGCATAATTAGAATAGCATTTTTTTTTACGAGAATAACAAGCAAACAATAAAAATAAGAGTTAAAATAAGAAAAACAGTTTTCAAAAATTAAAAAAAAAGAAAAATTTAACAAAGTGAAGAAGGGGAGAAGTTTCCTGACAACCTGACCTGATCAAATGATATTATCAATGAAAGCATTTAAGAAATATTTTACATTTGATCATCTTGAAACCTGAATAGTATTAGTGGAAGAATTATGAAAGCACTAAGGGGACATATTCCCAGAAGCTTGGTGACAATATTTCAAATGTTGACTAGTCCAATTACATAAATTTTTCATATATTTTTGTTAAGTAACAATAATTTCTTTTCAACTTAAAGTTGTACCAAATTATGAAATTTTCAAATTAAATTGCGAAGGAAAAAAAAGGAAAGGAAAGGAAAGGAGGAAAAGAGAGAGTTTATTTGGCTTCGGGAGCAAATATGAGAATACATTTCAAATGAATTTGCCGGAATCTAATCCATCCAAAAAGTCCCGAGGGAAAAGTTCAATCTGCTAAGAATTTGTCTGTTGAATGAAATAGAAGACTAGTGACGATGATTAAATGTAAGCGTTTAAAATTTATTGTTCCTTCTGTTATCCACAAAAATTACTTCGTTTTCATTCCGTTATTCCGATTGAATTATTCAAAGAGGTATTTACAAAGAGTTTTATATTTGTTATAATTTATTTGTTGGAAAATTTCCCGATTTTTCTTCCGTCAATCCTAAAATTTATTAAATAATCTCGATGGAATGATAAAATGCAAATATTCTAATGGAATATATCGGGAAACTATTCCTGATTATCATAATCTTTGCTTTTTCTTCATGTTTCTGACTGTTCAATTATGATCAAATAATAAATGTTTGGAGCAATTTGCAGAAATTTACAAATTTTAAACCATAATTGTCAAAAGATTTTCAAAATTTTCTTGGATGCCACAAGATAGTTTTATTGGATTTTCTCGGGAAATGTGAGAAAATACTCCGAAGGATCATCAAAATTCTTAATTCGAAAATTTTTTTTCTTTACAGAAACAACTTGCAAACATTAAAATTGAGCTAAAAATTTCAACGGGCTAAAAAATTGGACTAAAAAAAATTTCAACAATCTTGAAAGAACAAAAATAATTTTTTTGCAAAACTCAGCCAAACACTATTTAGATATTTCCCCGCTGGCAAAGTAAAATCCATCCTAGGACAATTTCTTTTTATTTTTAGCCTGAAGCTAAATCACTGGTTCTAAATCCTAAGTTATGTCCTGAGGTATAAGTCTTCAGATTTTTCTCATATATGAATATTCTCCAAATATTGGAATACTCTGTAAAATTAAAATGATTCAAATAAATATTTTTTTTGAAAATTAAAAAATACACTTTCAATTTCAAATAATTAACAAATAGTCAAAGCTTTTAAATTACAAATTTTTTTTTCTAAACTTTGTTTCTTTCAAATTTTATTTCAAAGATATCATTTTTGCTTTTTCTCAATTGATTCAACAATATTTCACACCTGTACTAATTACTTTGTTTAATTTGAAGTGATGATAACTCATAGAGACCAAGCTATCCCAATTATAAATAACCATATTATCAGTTTAAAAAAAATGCAAATTTACTTTACAATACTTTGCATTTGAAGAAATTTTAAAATAGAAATGATATTATGATATGAAATCAACCGTCCTATATTAAATTTTGAATTACTTTTAATACATAGGATAGTAATGATAATGATAATTATCAAATATACATTACAATTTCAATTACAATACCATCAAATATGATAGATATTTGAATCGATTGATCTTCAATAATTCAATGTGAAATAATATTTTTACTAGAAAAAAATAATTTAAAATTGATGAAAATAGATTAATAAGGAATTAAAATTTGTTTTTAATTCAAATTATCCTTTTTTTTTTCAATTAGAATAGAAAAAGAAAGTATTAATAAAGATTGGATTGTAACCAATATAACAATTGAAACATATTTTTATTTCCTTCGGCTTATTTAAACTTCCCTTTTTTTTCCAATCATATTTGTTCAATTAACAAATTAAAAGTTAATCTGTTGTTTTTTCTTTCTTGTCAACTTAATCATTCACTCCAATCCAATCCACCAATGCATTCAATTTAAAATTTCAACCAATATTACTATATTATAACCATTGTCAAACCTAATTAATCTACGTATTCCTTATTTTGAAGAAAAAAAATTATTAAGATTTCAAATATTATATGGAGATTTCTCGGGTTAATTTCCCCACTGATTTCATATGAGAACGAAAATCTCTCGGGTTAATTTCCCCACTGATTTCATATGAGAACGAAAATCTCTCGGGTTAATTTCTCCTGCTGCACAAAGATTTCTCGGTATTCTTAATGTCGTTATAGTAGGCTTTCATATCACCATATCTATAAATGTTATCAATCGTTAATTGAAGTATAAAATAAAAGATTAACAAATTTCCTCTCCTTTTTTCCACTCATTTTACTTCCTTTAAATTCTTTCCTTTTCTTTTCTTTCAAAATTTTCAAATGTTTTATGAAATTTTTTTTTCGGCTTAAGTAAAAGAGTAAGACGAGAAGAGAATTCATTCTTCCGCTTATATAAAGGCTTAATTTTGCAGCAAAACGATTCAGGAACAAGGATAAAAATGTAAGAAAGGCTTTTATTAATTGAGTTTCTTTGAAAACATTACCATCAAAATATTCCGTAAAAGAAGATTTATTCCGATACTTTTTTTTTCACATAATCATTCCGGATTGATGCACAAATTCGAAATATTTGTCAAAGAACTGAATTTTCCGTTTTTTAGTTAAAATTCTAATTTTGATTTCTAACAATAAACAAAAAATGTTGATTTATGGTTTTTATAATATTTGCAATTTTTTAAGGCCAATTGTGGCAGTGAAATATGTTTTGAATAAGTGATATGTCGTAAAGATGACAGACATCAAGAAGGAATGTCAAACAAATGCCATCAAGAGTAGTTTATAAATTTTACACAGCAACTGATGCAGTGGACTCGTCTATGTAGAGGCAGACTGAAAATTATGCCATCTTAAAGATTGTTGACAATATGATGACGTATGTAATGCTAATTCACAGCGCAACCAAAGATCAGCATGCAGAGTAGTAAATGTCAAAGGTCAGCATGCAGAGTAATATGTTCCGATTCAATTAGATAAAGCTGATAGTCGCAATATTCCCAAACACTATCATCAATCAAGTGGTAGTATCGCTAACGCTGGATATTTTTTATTTGGATATCATAACATTGACCATCGTTTATAAAATAGTATTGACACTTTCAAATGGTTCATATATTTCTGTTGACAAGTCATTCATCTTCTGTTTTCATATTTTAACAAGATAGTTACAATTACTGTTAAGAATTTCATTGGCACACAAATGTTTATTGATAATTTCGAAATTTTCAAATAGTACAAAATTGAAGATATTTGCACAAGAAAAACATTATGCAAATGCATTCAATATTTTCATTTAAATAAACAATCAAAATATAATTTGTAAAATTTGAAATCAAAAAAAAAATGAAATATGCAAATAAACAATCGATATGATCTATAATTGAATGAAAATTATCTTATCGATAATCCATTGTTTTTCCATATTATTCTCATAGTCAAATACAAACATTCAATGCTTATAAGTAAAGATGAATGAAATGTTTATCCGATCGAACTTACCTAACTGATATTAGTCAATCATTAGGTTAGATAGTACTGTTTTAAACAAAAGAAATTTCCATAAAGGAAAAATTAATATCTCATGTGTTATCATTAAATAGAAGAGGAGAATAAACCATCAATTAGATTTAACTGATACAAAATTTGATAATATTTTCCTTCTATATCCTGTTGTTAGTGTTTGCTGAAACAAAAAGGATATAACAACCATTAAAACTATCATTGATTGTCCTAATTATGCAAATGACATATCAGTCCAATCTCATCTAATTAATGAGGAGAATTTTCAAACATATACTCGAAAAAGGCACAAAATCGTAGAACTGAGAAAAGTGGACAATATCGGACTGAATATAAAGTTAAGGCAATCTATTATAAGGCAGATAATAAACAATAGAGAGTTGATGGTATGGACATAAGAGTGATGAGAGAGATGAAGAGAGATTTTGAAATGTGATAAAATTATGGGTCTTTTTTTTGAAAAAAAAAGAGGGGAAGATATTAAATATACAAACTTCTGAAGATTGTCTTGAAAAATTGTTGTTTCATTGATGTGATACAGGCCTATCAACTAAACGATTACTCATACAGGCCTATCAGTAAATTGACAAATGACTCTCACCATCAGTACTCGATTAGTAAATCCCGAATTCTGTTTGTGGAACCACAAAATCTATTCCAATGACTCATAATTCATATTAAAATTCATAATGTGCGGTCAACTTAATCCTAAGAAAAATTGAAAAGATGAAATTTGAGAAGAAAAAGGTTTATTTTATTCAAATTCATTAGGAAAAGGACATAATAATCATCAATCTTCCTTTTTGTTTGCAAATTAAAATCCAGAAATGATGAAAAAAAGTAAATATAAACGGTTTATAGCCTGGATTCCATAAATGGATAACAGTACGATGACCTTTAACCTTTTCTATGACAAAAAAACAGTCGTATAACAGTCACATCATATCAATTTCCTTACTAATTTCCATTAAAAGTGAGATTGATATAATAGAATAAGTGTGTTTGTAATGGTAGGAAAAAAGGAGATATGGGAATAAGGAAAAGATAAACCTGAATTGTGAACAAGTAACATCAAAAGGGGAACACATAAGGTTGACATTACAAACCGGAAATATATGCTGGAAATTTTTATATACAAAGCATTTCTTCCCCATATCTTCGATAGAACGCAGATAACCGGTTGAGACTATACATTATAATAAGCGGTAGGTGGTTGCTGTACATGAGGCATATGCGACTGAGAATATGAAGGCCTTAACGTCCTCTGATCATATGCAAAAGGTAACATTCCTGTTCCGTAAAATAATCCTTCCTCATATTGTTGATGAGATGACTGATTGGCTGAAAACAACCAACCAGCCTGCATCGCTGTCACCTGAAAGAAATAGACAATATCCGACCGTTTCGGAAAGTATTACTTAATGTTATAAAGCAGTTTCCTTTTGGTATCCAGTTGCAAATATATGTATATACATATATATCTTGCACTGACACCTAAGCGATTCCGGATTATGCCAACGGTATCGTACCGTGCAGCACCGTAATGAAGTTTCCAGAAAGTTACAAATATATTTTAATAAAATCAGACGAAATAAGTTAGAACACTGTTAGAGTTATGTCTTTTGAGTGTCTTTATGGTGCATTCTTTCAGGTGAAAAATCAAACGATAAAAGAAAACGGACCATTTGGGGTGGACTACATCCAATACCGTTGTGATGATCGGAATAAGGTGACAACATAACAGATGATGATTGAAGTACTGTATTTTCCGGATGACCTGCAGTAGCTTGAGTTACAGTAGTTCCACGTATTGCTGCTGCAACACCGTGAACTGTTGCTGTTGTATCATGTGGTGATGGTGTCGTCGAGTAGTTGGAACCATCAGAATTCGGTGGAGTAAGTGGATTTGCTGCAGCTGTTGACTGCGCTGTTACTGCTGCTACTGTCGAAGGATAAGTTGGTGATGGATTCTTTTTGATGATTGGCCTCTGTAAAACTTATTTGTGAATTTCGAATTCAATTTTTTAATTCCGAATTTAAATTGTACTGAATATTTACATCAAATAGGCTGTCGAAGAAAAAGAAAAAAGTAATAAGAAACAACAATTTACCGTTGTTTTTTTGAATGATTTCTTAAAACGATGATGTGCTGAAAGGGCTAAACTTGCAGCCATATTTGATGGTAAAATTCTCGGTGTAGGTATTGTATCAAGGTAATGGACAATATCTCGAAATTCCTTTTCTGCAGCAACATCACGTGGTGATCGTTCCTTCTGATCCGTAATTTCTTTGCTAGCACCAAGATTGATCAGGCATTCTACAGCATCAAGATGTCCTTCAGATGCTGCCAAAAATAATGGTGTTTGGTCCTAAATTATTCATTCAACATTTCATTATCTTTGCATATCATAATTAGACTTATATTTGAATAAATTTTTAGTTGAATGTTCCTGAAACTTAGAAATAAATGAAAAATTGAGGAAACATTGAAAATTTGATTAATATTTTATGCTTCCTGCTTACTACTTCCCACTTACCAATGAATCTTGCGCATCCTTGTTAGCACCATTCTGAATCAGAAGTCGGATTATATCTAAATTAGCATGTTGTGAAGCGAAATGTAACGCTGTTCTTCCATCGTATTTCGTCGAACCTTTATCACCAGCGCATGCTACATCTGCTTTTGCTTTCAAAAGCATTTCGGCTATTTCAGTACCCATACGTATATCAAATTTGGAGCAAATGATTAGCGGTGTTCGATTATCTTCATCTAATGCATCCACCTATAATAAGTCATTCAAACAATAATGGAATGGAAAGAAAGGGAAAAGAAATAAGGAACAAATGATTGATAAAATTTTTAAGGAGTTTAATTAGAATGAAAAATCATTAAATGATTAGCAGTATCTCTATTCTGCTGACAATAACAAGTACCATAAATGGTATCAGAATGGATTAATCTTTCATTTAAATATAACAAAATTTACAATTTCAGAATGCCTCCAAGAATGAGAAATTATCAGTGTAAATTTATCAGACTTATTCAAATTATTAATTCGTTTAAAATATTCTATAAATCAAAGTTTGAATATAAATTTGTAAGAAAAAAGAAATATCATCATCCAATTCAAATTAGTTAATTAATTAATTAAAACCCATCGGATATTTGTCTTAAAAAATTCTTCAAATTAAATTAACTTACATTAACTTGCCGTGTATCGAGCAATAATTGTACTATATTTGGAATATTCACAGCAACAGCATGATGTAATGGAGTACGATCCTTCTCATCAACTAATGTCGGATCAGCTCCATTTTTCAGCAAACATTCTACAACTGTTGTTCGACCACTCTTTACCGCAAGCATTAAAGCTGTATCTTCGCTATCATCTTGTGCATCAATTTCTGCTCCAGCTTCTAATAAATTACGAATATCCACGCAAGATGCTTCTTCATTTTTTGCTTGATTAGATGCTGTTTGCATCATAGCTGTACGTCCATGTTTCCCACGTACATTTACCAATAAAGGTTCTATCTGGAAGAGATTTTTTATGATTAATAAAATAAGGTAAATTGTATGATCCTCAATCTCTTTTCCACTACTTGTCCACTACATAATTTTGATTGCTAAAATACGATTGACAAAAAAGTGGAAAGTAAGACTGAATTTCCAATTGGTATAGTAATAGGAAAGCCCTTTTCATGATATAAAAATCTTGAAATAGCTAATTTTTGAGATTATTAAAAATTATGACATTTACGTGATCTTTATTATTTCCATTTCATTTAAAAAGATACAAACCGGTAAAGATATGGGTAATGTCGAATCAGCAGCTTCATGCAAATGTGTCCATTGTCGTTCATCGGTACCTAACGTTTTCGGTTTCAGGAATGATTGTGTATCTTCTCCAATGTACAAATTCGGATGAGCAATACCAACAGGAACATTATCAACACGAGTGCGTTTTGCTGTACTATAATTACTGAACAAATATCCACTGTGGATGCTGTAAGTGTCCAAATTTCCAGTTGATGATTTGCCTGTAAGATTTCGTACTGTAAAAAATGAGTATGTATATTATAAAGTTATTAAATATCGTACCAATTAAATTCGAAAATATTTTCCATCGGATGATTAAGATTACCGGATTTAACGAGAAATAACATGAATCCACATGCAAATGTAACAATAAATAGTACATTAGAATGGCAACTCATTATTCATTTGATTTCTCAACTTTTTAAAGTTAAATTTAAGAGTTAAGGTTGATTAGAAAAACAGTATAGCATGTAATAGACGGGTAAACGGAAATGTATATCTTACAGCTTTCGGATGGTGGTGGATGCCATATCCGAGCATGAAGAGTTTTCCGTTTTCGTCCTTGTTGAATCATAGAATAGGCAGTTAGTACTGTTGTGATAAAAATTAACAGACAAATAAGTAAGGTTTGCCAAGAGATGCCTTTATTCTGTTTAACATTATCTAATTCAACTCGAGCTGAATGCATTGGCATACCAAGTTCTTGTAATTCCTGCAAATTGTCATCTGTGACGGAGGAAACATAAGGAAACAAAAAATTTGCCAAAAGATTTTTTAAAACCATCCTGTCATTAGGCAAGGCATTGGGTATAGAAAGAAGACCGGAATCGACAGGAATTCCCGATCCGGTTATAAACTATCTTTGGCTACGATATAAAATGCCAATAGAACATTGCCCTTTTTTTTTTTAATAGATATGAATGTGATACGATAATCCATCACAAAGAATCAATTTTATTTGATTCACAAATGATTCATTGCAATATAGTGGAAGTAAAGTTTTAATTGTTTCTTAGCTAAATTAACGAATTTTGAGGTTCAGTTGAAATTAAATAGCAATAAATCAACAAAACTGGTCATAATCAATCAATTGATTTGATATGATATTCTTTATTTGTAGAACAAACATTTCTTTACCTGTTTAGCGTTAGCTGCACCCAAATAATCAACGACACTAAAGAGATCCGAAAAACATTCTTCACGATCAATTTTACGACAATACGACATGTCAACCGTAAGCATTACCATTGTGCCACGTAATTGACCTGTTTAAAAAACGTTTAAAGTTTTATAGGAAAACTGAGAAAGTTCAGAAATAAATTTCAAATAAGATCAATTTCTGTCAAAAAATAATTTCTTTTAAAGTTCCTATTTTTCATTTGCATGCATATATTTGGGACGTATCTATTCATCTAAAAAGAATTTCACATCTATTACACGTTATGCGTCCGTTTCATGTCGCCAGCAAACATACTCTGATTGACAATCTTAAGTAAGGTTTATTTTTTGTAATAAAAATCATTTATTATGATATCTTTAAAAAACCATGTAAAGTTTTTTGCCTGACAAGAATTTGCTTTTGATAAGTGATATATAATTATTTAGTTTTTAACACTTAAAATAAGTGTTAACTTTATCTCTTTCGAGTAATACTTACTTTGAGAGTGTTAAGTATAAGATGAACGGAACTTATCACCACTTTAACGAAAATGTATTAACAACAACTGCGCCATTATTCAATATAAGTTAATCGATAACTGTTCATTGCTAATCAGTTATTTTAATTCCCTTTCTTTTTTAGAATATTCATTTAGGATTCTTTTCTGTGATTTCCTCGCACAATATATAGACCATATGTTTCGGATTTTTTTTTCTTGTAATTAAAAATTGACTTTAATATTTTAAGTGCACTTCACTGTCCTGTTAAAAATGAAATATTAATTAGTAGTAGGCTAAATTATGGCAGAATTTACTTTCTCTTTTGATTCGTTGGAAATTAGCGACAAGCAAATGACGTTTTTCTGATGGTACATCGTATAATTGTCCAATACCATCTTCTGAAGTCCACGAATAGATCATTGGTTTGCCATCTGTCATTCGAATATGTACGGCACCGCGTAACTTTTGACTCAGTGTAAAGAGGAATGTTTGCGCATTATGTAAAAATTCTTCTGGACTGATCAAAAGCACCACTATGATATTTCCAGCTAACTGTAAAATTTTTCTCTCATTCTAATTACCACAAAATTAATTCATTCTTGTATTAAAAATATTTGTAAAAGAAATATTGATTTATATTGGAACTTAATTAATGCTAATAGGGAGACTTAATTATTTAGTGGAAAGCTAATTCTCATGAAGATATTGAATAACAAACCGGTGTTTCAACATTAAAAGAATCACAATCACCACCATCCCATCCACAACCGATAACATTGCATTCGCGATCACATTGTCCATCGGCATAGTGTGCCGTACAGTAATCATTTTTTGGACACTGTTCCGGAATACTATCACAATCGAATCCATCGAATAGACATTCCTGATTGTTGCATACCTGTAAAACAAATTGATGCGAGGAATAATATAATAGTAATAATATTTGAAAGACGAATAAATTAACGAAAGGATGGTTTAAATCATATTTTCGAAAGTTGGAGAATGATTTGAATATATTTAAAAATTGAAATTAATTCTAAATCAAGCTTCAATTTTTAATTTTCCTAGCATTATGTTATCTTGATAACTTACCGGATCGCATTTTCCGTCTCTGAAAACATGAGCACAATAACTTGATGATTCGCATTTTTCAAACGGTTTCGTACCAGCACTGCAATCTCCGTTATCATAATCACATGCATAATAGTTGCAAACCTGATCACATACTTTGTTACCAGCCTGAAATTAACAAACTCATTGAAAAGGAAAGAGACTGATAGTGTTGTTAATATGCAAATGAGAAATGAAGTGAGTGAATGAATTAATCAACTGGAATATCATGTACTTATATCAGTTGATACCTTTGCTGCGCAATCATGCTTGGCACATAGTTCATGCTCCAATAGATCAGTCACATTGAATTGTTCCAAATCAATTTGAAGTTGACAATTTTTCCCGGTAAATCCACGTTGACATCGACAACGATATGAGTTAACACCATCCACGCAAGTTCCACCATTTAGACACAATCTATAACGATGAAAAACTTCTTGCAATCAAATCAAATCAGCCTAATATTAAATTAAGTCCTTGACTTCATTTTAAATTTCCTTTTAATTCGTATTAAAATAACAGAATCAAAGTTGGCCTATATATAGGTTGAATATTGAAAGCATCAATAGTATCCTTAATAATTTATTTGTGACATATTAATAAGGAAAATTTTTATTAAAATCTTTACAAAGAATGTTTGAGTAAATTTGCTTCATTTGGAAATAATTTTATAATCTTAATGATAGTATTGGTGTTGTATTTCAGTAAATCTCGGGAAGGATAATGGTGTTTTACTTCCCTGAGCTATGGTAAGATGATACTTTTCATTCCCACTTTTTATTTTCTTGATCTACATCAGACTAAAATTATTTTTTTTTTTTGAAAATGATAAAAGCAATCCATTCTTCCTTTTCTTCCCTTTACTAATTTCTCGCCAAAATTAAATTTAAGTTTCAAATCTTGACTTTGAGATTTAAAACTATAATAAGCATTGAGTTTGAACATTGAAAACAGTACTCTTTGCAATTTTAAAATTTAAACAACTTTGGGATTTTCTTTTTGCATAAAAATTTCCATCTCATAATTAAACTTATTCATTTCAAATCCTAACATAATCAGATAATTTCTAATTAGTTTTTTTTCCTATTTTCAAGTAATATACCGAATGACCTGTGGTAATTAAGAGTTTCAACATCCCAAAAACAGCTATTAAATAAGTTAATCCTTCCCTCGGTATCTTTTCCGGTAATTAGATGAGTAAATATATGCTTATCTTCTCCCTCAAACAAAATGATTTGTCTCGGTATTGTTAGTCAATTAATCAACCAATGGATTGATGAGAAGAAGGAATGGTCAATGTAAGGTCAGTGATTTTCTCAATACAATACTTGAAAATAATTCGTTGAATAAACAATGAGGTTTAGGGTGTTGTAATGTCCACAAATTGATCCCATGATGTATGTCTGTATGTGTATGTATGTGTGTGTCTGTATGTGTATGCGTATGTGTTGTATGTGTATGTATGTATGTATGTATTAAGGTATCATTCTTCATCAACCAAATCATGATCTCTTGATGATACGGTCGAAAACATCTTTCACTCTTCCTTATCCTCACCTTTACTTTCTATTTCAGGTCGAAGATTAACTTTGACTTTCCTGAATACTTTCGTCTATTTACTTAGTATTCTACAAAATTATACGAGTACATATCATTTTCAATAGTGAAGTGTGTGAAAATATCTTTCATACCTGTTGTTATGCAATTGTCCAGTCAACAGGTGTGTAAGTACACTTAACATTTTTCGATCAGTGCTAACCTAATCATAATGCTATACGTTCATTTATTTAAATAAAATCCTCTTCTAATTTTGCTTCAGGTAAAAGTAAATTGGAAAATTGAAATTAATATTCTAAAATGTTGTCAGCAAATTCTACTCTGTCACATCTTCTCCATCCGAAAGTTTGTGATCTTATTCGACACCAAGAATAGATTTGAGATCTATTCATCATGAATGAAACTAGACACATTTACCTTCATACATAATAAATTTCGTGGTTGAAAGAAGAATGGACAGTGGTCATTCAGACTTCAGCATCTTTTACTACTACATTTATACCCGAGATCATTGTTAATGTCCTCATTCTTTGCTTCACTCATTCATTGCTCTTCCTATTGAAGAGAATGAAATGATGAAAAGTGACAATCGTAAAGCATTTCGAATTTGATTTAAGATCACAAAATATTCCAAGCTATCATCGAATCTTTGAAACCAAACAAAAGGACGATTTGACAGCCAACAGCGATGTAATATCATAAAGTAAAAGAGGAGGATGAGAATTCATTGGATAGTTAACTACACACAATGTGCTTTTCTTTACAATATGATAAACAAAAGATACGTATCAGATGGGATGCTCAAAACAGATCGCCATCCTGCTTTGGTCATCAAGAATGGACAGTCGTGGGAAAACAGCTTGCATTTCAGAGATAACAAAAATATGTTATTTGCTCATTCCCTACTTTCACACTCTCTTTAACATTCATTATCTCTTGCATAAGCATGAAATTAATTACCTGAAATTTGAGTATTACAAAAAAAAAAAAAAAAAAAAAAACTACTACTTATGGTCATACTTCCTCTTCTTGCTCTTCCTTTCCTTCCTTCAACTTCTTATTAATTACTCATTTTCTATTAGCCACGCAACAACTCCTTTCAATTATGCAATAACTTTAGTTTCCCTATAAATTTGCAATAATTTAATGATGGGAGGAATATTTGTTGTTATTAGCAGCAATCAAAAAAAAAAAAAAACGAATATCTCATAGCTAATATTGGATTTATGTCGAAATTAAAAGTGAAATTCCATGAGAAAGTATAAATTGTCGCTGTTTATTGAAAAGAGATTATGAATTTGCTATATTCATTTCATTCTAATGTAAATTTTCAAAAATTTCCATTTCTTTTTTGTCTAATAAAAACTTCGAAGAATTGTAAAACTTACAAAAATGAAAGATTACAAATGTGAAGAATTCGAAAATTGCAACATTTAAGAATTAACAAATTTAAAAAATTAAAAATATTTGCAGACTTTTTTTGGCCTATAAATAATAGCTGTAGATTTGAATTTTTCTAAATCCTTAAATCCTTAAATATTACAATTTGCAACTGAGATTTTTAAAAATCAAATTTTACCATACCCCGGTTGACAGTCATCATCGTTGGTTTGACAAAAGGTACCACTAAAACCACGACGACATACACATTCGAAACCGTTCACATGATCGATACAAGATGCACCATTTTCACACGGTGACGATTCACATTCATCGATATTCGTGGCACATTGACGACCCGTAAAACCGGCCAAACATTCGCAATGGTACCCATTTAGTTCATCCATACAATGACCACCATTTAAACATGGATCTGAAGATTTCCCAGGAGAAATCTCAGAAGCAAATAACTAACCGATGATGCAGCATTAACCGGTAAGATATCCCGATTATTAAACCGCTTTCTACTTTATCTGTTACAGGAAATAAATGAACACCATCTTTACATATTGGATTCTCGAGAATCTCGACAAGGAAAAAAAACTAAAGGAGAATTGTGAAAATTAATATGCCACTTAATGCTCCGATTGTCACCTTTATTGATTTCCGTTATTCTTCCGTTGTTTTTTTTTCTCTTTTTTGTATGAATTAATTCAAAAAATAATTTCAAAGCCAGAAATTAAATATCGTAAATCAAAATGCCATAAGCAAGGAATAGAAATAAGAATTGAAATAAGAAAGTAGAAGAAATTAAAATTAGTTAGCAGGCATACTTACTTGGTAAGCAATCATCCCGATCATTTTCGCAATTTCTACCAGTATATCCATCCGAGCAATGACATTGATATGAGCCAAATGTATTTGTACATGTACCACCATTGAGGCAAGGATTATTTACCTCGCAATCATCAATATCCTGAAAATTTCCCAAATACTTGACAGATATAATCTTTTGGTGGCCAAATAAAAAAAAAGCTTAATGATATAGTAAGTCATAATGATGTCATTATCCAAATTAACCAATTTTTAGATAGTATTTCAACAGAATAAAATTTACCATATCACAATAATATCCATCAAAACCGTTCGTACAACTGCATGTATAATTCCGATAAGTTGGCGTTGGTTTACAGATTGCGCCATTCTCGCAGCGATTTGTTCGGCATGGATCTAACCTGAAATTTAAGCAATTCAGTAATATGAAATTTAAAAGGAAATTGAAAATTTCATTGAAATATTTATTTACTTCATAAAACTTTAACAAATTTAAATTTACGAAAGTTAACATTTACGATGTTATGTTTAATGAATTAAAAAGTAAAAAAATTGATTGAGAAAATTGAAAAATGCTAATAAATGCTAAGTAAATAAGATATGACGTTTACAAAGCCTTGTTTGTGAATAAAAATTTTTCTTCGATAAATAAAAAATAGCCTAATTGATTTTGGACTAACTTACTCATATTGACATCGATCACCATCATATGGTAATGCACAGTGACATGAATATGAATTAATACCATCAATGCAAGTACCACCATGTAAACATGGATGATTTATACAATCATCAATATTCGTTTGGCATTGTTCACCGGTATAACCGGTACTACATGAACAAACGTAACCATTCAAGTGATCAGTACAAACGCCACCATGCTGACATGGATTTGATGCGCATTCATTCATCTAAAAATGATTTCTATATTCCGGAAATACCAGGAAATGGAAATATCTGAATATTCGATTTCGGTTGTATTTGTGGCTAATTTTCGCCCCCTAATATTGGAATATTTCTTCTTGGCTAATCCTAATTTCTGTGATATTTTTTGATAGGATGAGAAATATAAATACTTACTTCTAGTTTACAATCATGTCCATAAAAACCCAATTTACATTCGCATTTATAGGTAGCCTCATTATTGATTGGAATACAAATAGCATTTTGAGGACAGTTATGATATTTGCACGGATCTGATTTCTTCTCACAACGATCACCAGTAAATCCCGGTGGACAGCGGCATGAACCTTTCGAACAAACACCACCATTTAAGCAATCAGTCATACTACATTCCACAAATTGTCGACGTTCACAGTTTTCACCTTCATAACCAGGAGGACAATGAAGTTCACATCGTTCTCCATGAAAACCTGAAATGAATTTCCTTTTTCTTTCAAAATCATATTTTTTCTTCCATAAATTATGTAAAATTATTGATATAAACTGACTAACCTGACATACAAACGCATTTAAAGCGTGTTCCGTAATCCAAACATGTACCAGAATTAAGGCATGGATTAGAAGAGCATTGATTCACATGAGTTTGACAGTGCCAATCAGTGTAACCCGATGGGCATTCACAGTGAAATGATCCAGGTGTATTCACACAGGTACCACCATTGTAACAAACAGCATGACCCTGAAATTTTCCCAGAAATCAATCGTATTCATAGTTTATAAACTTCAAATTTCATTAAAAGTTCATAAAAATGATTTCGAATTTTTGAATATTGAATATTACCTGATTGCATTCGTTAATATCATTGGAACAATCCTCTCCAGTGTATCCTTTCGGGCATTCACATGTATATTTCCCACTTGATGTATCCGGTTCGCATATGGATCCAACTCGACATGGATTTGATAAACATGGATCTTCCATATGGCAAAATAATCCTATAGATAATATGAATTATAAGTTATGTAATACATACTGTACTTCAATTTTGAACTTCAAATAATGAAATCATTTCGTTAAAATAATGCTTTTATTTGATTTTCCAATATTTTCATATATTTAAAAAAATACAAAAGAAGAAAAGTCAATGTATAATAACTCACCGATACGACCAGATGGACATTCACAGGTATATTTGGCAAGATGATCCACGCATGTGCTACCTGCTTCACAAAGTGCATCCACACAATCATCTCTATTTATCTCACAATGAACACCTTCCCAACCATTTACACAAACACAATGATAACCTTCTTTTTTATTGAAACAAGTTGCACCATTCTTGCATTTATGTAAACCTAATTCACATTCATCAATATCTTCCTCACAAAAACGACCTGAAATATTAGAGCCATTACGTGTATTCATACTTATCTGATATACTAATCTGTTATTTCTATACCTTTTATTAATTACCTGCATATTAATTATTGTAAAGAAATGATTTCAGATTTGAATAATTAATTATTGTTATGAATAAATTTTCAGAAATTATCCAAAAATTGATATATTAGCTATCTTATCTTATCATTTTATTTCATCTCAACTTTTTTTTCTTTCTATATCTTTGTGTTATTATCTTTTATTTATGCAAAATAATTTTTTATGTAATATTTATATAATTATTGAACTAATTGATTTGCTTATAAATTCCATTTTCTTTTTCTCTTTCTTTCTCTTCCTCTACTCTTTCATTAACAGTTATTTTGCTAATTAGAAAAAAAACAAAAACTGAAATCTTATATTTGATATTTTATATGATATGATGAATAATTGATTTTGCTTAAAGTTGACGTATGCAGGTATTCTTAGTGAAAGGATCGGGAAAAGGCGGGGAGGAAAAGGAATGTGAATGAATGAATGAATGAATGAATGAATCATATAGGTCGGATGAGTATCAGAGGTCAGTTATATCGTGCTAATACAACAAACATTAAAATGACAAAAATGGATAACATTTTGATTGATGTTAAGCGCCGATACATAAGAATAAAATGAGAAAGAGATGAAAAGCTGTCATCCGTTATAGTAATAAATGGCAGATGTTTAGGATATTGGTGTGAGAAATTTCTTATTACTATTACTACTATCACTCTTTTATCTCTCTTTATCACATTATAAAATTACAAAGAATAGGGCTAAAATTTCGATTTTAATTTTGATTCATAAATTATCTCACTATTATAGAATTATCAATTACAATGAATGGATGATGATGATGATGATGATAATAATGATAATGATGATATAACTCAATGAGTGAAAATTAAAAAAAGGATATGGGATTGATAAAAATTGTTATCATTTCATTGTACTATAAATAAAAATAATGATAATGATGATATAATTTAATGAGTGAAAATTAAAAAAGGATATGGGATTGATAAGAATTGTTATCACTTCATTATACTAAAAATATCCTTTCCTAATTAATATGATTAAACTAATTTACAATTATTAGTCTTCCCTCAAGTATGAATATAATGTAAGTCAATGAATAACATAGTTCTTCATTATTGTCACTGTGATAGTGGACGATGGATGGATACTTATCAAAAATACTGATAACTGTCATTTTATACAAAAGTGATGAGACAAGAAAATTTTAAAAAACCAAATTTTCAAATAAACTTTTTGAAATGTGATATTTTTCATAAATGATATATAAATTTTGGATACTTACAAAAAATAATTTTAAAATCCAAAAATGATAATTTTCTTAAAAATTAAATCAGTGGTAGCAAAGAATAAATAAATCGTAATTTTCATAAACTGCATTTTTTTTTTATCATATTAAATAATAGCATCTACAGTGATCATAATTTTTTTCTTTTTTTTTGTTGACTACAGAAATCATGATTTTTATACCGTATGACAAATGTCATATTGCATGCTATTACGGAATTTTTGAAAGACTGAATGAAGGAAAAAGAGAGGAAATCCATTCGTCAAACCGGTTTCAGTACTGTAGTTAAGTCCGGTCATAACAAAAGAAATACATATATTTAGAATTCAAGTATCTTTCACGTTTATTTGAAAGATGATAACATCTACATTGATAACCTATAATATGAGCAAAATGAAAGTTTCCTTTAAAGTGATCAGATATTTTTCACAATACTTACTGATAATGTTTAAT